CTCATGCACAAGTTCGCTTGTGAGTGCGTGAGGGCATGGTCAGAGGGGTTCTCCGTTAGTGTCAGTTCTATTTCCTTGTCGCCTTACTTTCACCATTCGAAACAAGGAGAGCTAGTAGCGGAATAGCGCTCCACCAAGTTACTTCAAAAATGAGGGGAAGGAAGTAAAGCCCAGTGCTTGCGTGCAGGACTACCACGTCCAAAAAAAGGCGCCTGAACATCAAATGAAAGCCGACCATGCCATCTAACCATTTGTGACCTATTAAATCAGTTTTAGGAATTTAGGACATACTTAATCACGTGCGCTCTGATTCCACAATTTGTTTATTAATAATGTTCATTACACCCGATAGCACTGAAAGATTATGCAGTGCATGAAAATCGCAATGTACAGTAAAATGTTTCGAGTGCTCGTCGCCACATTGGATGGACCTGACGTCCATTGCGGGCCGTTGACAGCTGATTCAGCAATCGGAGGCAAATGACTACTTGTGTTTTCCTTGTTTTCCTCGTCCACCAACACTGTGGAAGACGCCTTCGCTACAGAACCAGCTGGCTTCCTCGACGGCTTCAGTTTCTGTGGCGAAGTGCAGCTGGCTAAAGTGGATTGTTATAGAGAGTTATAGTCAATCGAGTTTACCACGGTGAATCTTTTGGGAAGGCTGTTTCGAATAGCTTGGCTAAGGTTTCGTCTTGAGGGAACAAATTACAAACCTTCTTCTTCGAAGAACAATTGTCTTCTCTGCATTTTGGGAGAAATTGAAATCTCTTGAGCAATGAGGTCCAGTTGAAGCCAGATGCAGTCGACCGGACGAAAATTCTGCTACCTGCACAGAACCCCAAATTGATACGCAACAAGAAAAAGTAATTTCCAAACAGGATGTTGAAAGAGATGTCGCAGAAATGCTCAAGAAAGCTAAGATATTAGCAGTAGCATCCAACCAAGACCCAAGTTGAGTGAGAACTCACGAAGCATGATTGTGTTTCTTGGCCGCTTAAAGCGAACAAATAAAGAGACTTCCCATCCCTCCACGAAGCGATGCACTGATACTGTCGAGCTGAAAGGTATCAGTATTTTCAGAGGAATGATAGGTGATATGGGGCGTGCATGTTGTTGATGGGACAACCACTATAACAACTGCTAAGATTCAGTAAGGAGTATCACCATTGGAAGGGGGTATTCAATTTGTATTGCACCGCAGCTATAGTTTAAACGTCGTTCCAGAAATTGATATAGTGGGTAGGGCGTGAACGTCAACGATGGACGCCAGATAGTGTTAATCGTAGGAACTGATAATAGCGGATAAGCAGCCTTAGAAAGAAGACTCCAGGAAATTGAACTTGACTTGAAAATTGAGCTGACAAGGGACATCAGAGCGGAAACCTTTGGAAAATTATTGTGCACGTCGCAGCATGAGTGGGGAAGTGGTTTCAACTGGCAACTAAAGGGGTAGGACCGAACACTGATGACTTGGTAAGTACTGACTGAGACCGCACCTTTACAACGATGGTAAGGAAAGATGTAGGTGAAGAGCGACTGCGGGTCGAGGACTGCAGAAGGTGCACTTGTCATCCGGGCACTTGATTAGGCGGCCAAGGGTCGCGACGCGGCTGCAGCGCGTCACGACCGCGGCGATCAGCTGTTTCCGGCCTAATTTGGCCATTTTCCCCCAATTTCAATTAGTGTATATTTCTATTTATAAGGTAAGTTGTTTCATTGCTTTTATGAAGTGTGTTAGGATGTGGGTTCCTTTTTTGTGCTTGCAACAGAGTGTTTTTGCAATTTTTTTTCACATATCTGTCCAATTCTCTCCTTGAATGTTTAATTGTACGCAAAAATCAGATGAATGTCACTCATAATTCACCTTATGAAGACAAGGACCAACTAATCTCGAGAAAAGCAGCCAAAACAGTGTAAATTTGGCTAAAATGATCGCCGCGCTCGTGGCACGTCGCAGCCGCATCAACCGTCGCGACCCTTGGCTGCCTAATCAAGTGCCGGGATGACGACTGTAGCAGAGCCGTGGCCTTTTGTCACGCAACGGCGCGGAGGTGACCATCCTCTGCAGGATGCGGACTTTGCTACCTGATGGAAGGGTGTAACTTCTACAAGACAGGTCATTGCGAGCATCATCTTAACTTCGCGACTAACATTCATTTATTAATTCTCCCCGGGACTTACCTGCTCGGGTGCATTTTTCAAGCACCTGTCAAAAATGGCGAATAGCAAAGGCGATATAGTCTCTTGAAGTTTGGCAGGGAATTAATACTGGGATTTCATTTTGAAATGTGTGATCAGTCCGCTTACAGTCAAATGCGACATCCGTTGAGCAATGCGATGCGGTAATCTCCATTATGCTTTGATTTTCGCAGTCGACAGTTACGTTGTAGCAGTCCTGAGAGCGCAATTCTTTCGGAGTAGTGTACTTACTGAAAAAAAGGGTCGAAACTATTTTGTCATGTCTTGGAAACTCTCTTCACAAAACTCAAATACATCCAAATAGAATCTATTAAATATAAAATATAATATAAATTTCAAATAGTTGGATCACAAGTATAATCGTACCCAACGATTCCACATGGCGACGGAACTACACTTTTGATCACTGCAGCGGTCCATGGCCACTGAGCGAATTCGCTGTCGGCACTGAATGGATGGTTTCTAGTTGGAGGACTTATGTAGAGGAGTGAAAGAAGTATAGAGCAACCAAATGTCTTCAAAAACGTCGTAACATAAAAATGACGTGACGTGATGTCTACTCGTAACTGCTCCGATATAACACTTATCCAGGTCAACAAAGCCTTCATGCTTAGGAGAGTAAACCATGGAAGATCTTGTAACCCAAATATGAACTGCCTTCTGCAAGTCTCTGAAGCCCTAACGCGCTTTTGATACACAGTCCACAGTCACCTACAAGTATGTAAGCTCGGAAGTGAAATAGTAAATGACCCTGTACAAGTTTTGCATCTGAAAGTTTCAAAATAGCAGCTGTAAGGCAAAAAGTTGTACAAATGACTCTGCCAAAAAGTCAGTGACTCCGCACTTGTTCATAGGTCTGATAGGTCATCGGTTGTCTTGAGGCGGAGGTGGTTTTATAGTAAGTGGCACCTTTACCAGCCGCACGGTCCGGAGATAAAATCCGGGTCTTCTCGCGCTTAGACCACCCAAGCCTTTTACCCTGCAGGAGGTAAACTGGTATCAGATTCGTTTGGGAAGACAAAAAACTGACTAGTACATTGGCTGGTCGCGCATTCATTGTACAGGCTACATTCAGAGTCATAAGATTTGAATGGAAATAGATCGCTGACCACATCCCAAAAAAGATGGATCAAACGAAGACTAAATCCTTTATTTTTATCGGTTGTCTTACTCTTTCCGTGCCGGAAGCGTCCGCATACGCTCAGGATGCTAAACGAGGTAGTCGTGCCTGGCTCGCAAATGGTTTTGGTCTCGATAAACAGGGTACAGCGACGTTGTGTGAAACTCATAGTATACCCCCCCCTCCCCGCTCAACAAAAAATCTCTGCGATGGAAAGTGGAGGAAATTGATAAGTAGGTGCTGGGGAAGGGGGGGGGGCGCACCGTGGTCCTTCCTCGAAAGAGGGGGGAGGTCGTACTAGCGACCATCTCACACATCACGATGCTGTACCCTGCCGATAAGTCAATTGTATGATGTCGTGAAGCCGAGTAGTCAGCAGGAGTGTAAAGTAGGTATGTAGCTAGTTCATACTCAAAGGAGCTCGCATTCCAGAAGGAGGAGTAACACACTTGAAGGAATACTTCGTAAAGATCGCAACTGCAGCTCATCCACACCTATCCAGGGTGCTAAACTGCCCCGGTTCGCGTTTGCTAGCGAAGTAGTTTGACCTATTTCCGAATATTTTCTGGAAAGTATGATTAGCTGTATTGGAGATACGCCAACAGAAGTGAGCGCCAAAGGAGTTGTCCTCTCTATTAAGGAGACAGCTAGCCCACGGACTATGGGGTAGGAATAACGAAGAGGGCTCCAAATTATGTTCGGGGTGTAAAATTCAACGTTTGAACTGGTGCACGCCTACCTGCAAGCATTTGGATTGGGGGCTTCTTGAAGCGTAGTAGTTTTGAATTCGATGAGGCTCTCGCTTCGTGGTGCAAACCACAAGCAGTGATAGCCGAGAGGTTCTCCACTAAAAACAACTTTTCACTACTAAATTTTCTAAACTGTAATATGTATCACAATCATCACTGCACAACAGTGATCAAATTCATATGCAAGGGCTTGCTCTAGTAACGCAGCGCGGATTATTATTTGAAAAGAAAGTATAGGCCTCACGTATCAGCTTTTATAGGTTCGAATCCCGAGACGACTTTCGCCCAGGCCAATCAAACTTCGTAAATTGGTTCAGGTTCGTGTGGGAGGATAGAACACTGACTTGTACATCGGCTGGCCCCCGCAAGTCATTGTATAGGCCACATCGCATTCAATAAGCCACTACGATTCTGAATGGAAGTAGAATGCATGCCGCATCCCATATATGCATTGAACAACGGCGAGGACCTCTTTATCCTTTATTCTTATCAGGTTAATGGGGAAGCTGTTAAAGTCCCCAGACTAAGACTTTTGGTTTACTTTTCTAGAAGTTGTTTTGCTTTGTTAATGCGGGTCTATAACTCTAACTAATTTTTATTGACACATAATCCGCTCATTCATGTTGCTGTTTAAGGAAAATGAGTACGAATTCCGACCACCTTTATAAACCTATATGAAAACAGAGCAGCTCCTCAGCAGCAATTCTCTCATGTGAGTAGAAGTGCGTACATTCAGGTCCATTCATGTATACTTTATTCGATTTGAAGTTGGAGACTCCTGATTCCGAAGCAGTTATGCTTGCTGCGGATGATGTAGTCAGGGAGCGAGTTTGACGAAGCGCCAACCCGCTTCTTTCTCTGTCTTTTGGGGACACTATATCGTTGCTATCGGGTGTTTTCCACTAATTGTTATCGCTTACCCGCTTCATAAACTGGTGGAGAACGAGGTGGCGGCTAGCCAAACCCTGCCTCACTAACACCCTCTCCGTCCACAGCGAGCAAGACTGTATCAGCCCTACCAACTTTATAATAGTGTAGTAGACACGGTGCAAGCCCGTGCGATGGAATCCTGATGATCCAACGCAAGGAATGTTTCGTGCACGATTACTTTGAGAAACAAACTTCGCTGAACGTTATTGTCGTCTACTTATAGGCAAGTGACAGGACAAATCCACAAGGCGTGTAGGATAAATATGTCTTGTAGAACAGAATTCGACACCTCTGAGCAGACGCTGCAAGGCGCCTTTTCCAGCGAAGGTACCCTTATAGCGCATTATCAAGCTGCAACATACCGACTCGGACGCCCACCAACGGGGAACACAGTCAAAAAATTCTCTCCCAAGCAGTGGTGAGCAAAGTTTTTATCGAAGGTTTTTGACAGTTTTACTTCGCTTTCCGTCATACTATAGAGCACCCCTGCTATTATTTCCGGGCAGGCATCAAATTATCGTGCCTTATTCCTTTGAAAAGCTATAATAATTACATACCATTTAGTTTCCGAATAAACAAATATTCGATCGTCAGTGATGTGAACGCATCTGGACATCACGGCTACCGTGTTTTCACCTGCTTGAGCGTACTGTAGCCATTCGGCAGTGATGGTAAGGGAATCATATTCCCCACGAATAGAACTCGGGAAATGACACTGCGCCACAGCAGGCTGAGATTGAACTGAAACACGTGCAAAATGTTTAAATAACAGGGTCTATTGATTGAATAAGTTGTTCTCATGAACTTCGACAAAAGAACATTTTCCCATTGTTGACAGAAGGACATTTTTTTCGTTCTTCTGTGGGAGATTTCTCACCTGGCTTCAGCTTATAGAGCTCAAAGGCGCTATTCTCATTCAGCGAGTCGCAAAAAGAGTCCCTAGAGAAATAGACTGATAGGATGTTGTCAGATGAAGGCGACAATCGCTGAAAATCCAGAATTTGATCATTAATTCTAACAGGAATAGCGGTCCATTGTTTCTTTAGACAATTCTTTACCCCACAGCGATACTCGTCGGTTTCCTCATTAGCCACGACAATGTAGCGGGAAGCGTTTGTTCCCATGAAAGATCCAATGCATTTTAGAGACATATCTAAAAAGATGTAACCTTTCACCTTTTCTACCGCTTCTTTCATCTGTCAAATAAAAGACTTCCTCACTGAAATCTGGGAACGTGCAGTTGCGAAACTTCACTGTTAAAGTGTTCAATGATTTACAGTTTTGAACCTGAAAGAAGCTTAGAATATCTTCTCAAATATCCAGATCAAGAGGGATGGTTATTGAATTAAAGAGCCTCACTTCACTTCCAGAGTCCATTCCGCATTTGAAATCGGCACCTTTCAAACTGTATTCAAGAGAGAAGCGACCATCAACATGGCATAGTGCAGGTTCCGCATTTGCTCCTGAAATGATTCAGTATGGTGTAGCTACTTTTTTTTACATGGAAATTGATTGCATACATTATGAAAGAACTCACTAAATACGGTTATGCCGTCTCTCAGTGAGACTTGATTTGCGTCGAAACACGTCAACTTTGCCTCCTTGACAGTCTCGTAACAAGTTTCACCTGAATTGCATCAATTCTCTGAAATTCTCCGTTGACAGCATTCAGACTTCGCGACGGCGGCGCTTCGGTCGCGCGTTCGGGCGGTCGATCGCACCCTCGTACGACTGCGTCGATCGCGTCGCTAGTGCTAGCGTACGATTGTGTAGCGCGACTGATTCGATCGCGCTCCAATGCAAAAATCGACTGGACGGATGCTAACTCACAGCCATTTTCGCTTACTTTTTCCTTCTTTCTCCTCCCGTTAGCTTCTCGCTTGTTTTTTCACCTTCCTACCACTATTTCTTCAATCTGTTCCTAATGTTTGTCGGTTATTATGCTTGTTTACCTTAACATATTGAAATTTTCAGATACATTGGAATTTATAGGATGGACGGCCATGTTGAGTGCGCGCACTTCCTCTATTTCTTTTTTGCTTTATTCTTATTTGCTGCTAATTTCGCGCTTCAACTATGCTGGGAACCATCTATGGTCTGTTTCGAGTACTATCTCGCCGAGGGAGCAGAAGAGCGGATGAGTCATCGCTCGCCGCGTCGTCCCCCCCCCCTCAGAAAAAAAACAGTGGTAGGAAGATGAAAAAATAAGCGAGAAGCTAACGGGAGAAGAAAGAAGGAAAAAGTAAGCGAAAATGGCTGTGAGTTAGCATCCAGTCGATTTTTGCATTGGAGCGCGATCGAATCAGTCGCGCTACACAATCGTACGCTAGCACTAGCGACGCGATCGATCGCCCCCGGGCGCGATCGATCGCCCGAACGCGCGGCCGGAGCGCCGCCGTCGCGAAGCCTGAACGCTGCCTTTCTTTTACTAAGAACCTTGTATAGTTGATATGGTGGCAATTAGTCGTGCATTGAGAAGGCGTGGGACGGGTCCACCCCGGCCACGTTTCCTATCAATAGTGATTAGTGATCGAATCAGAAAGAAAACAGTCAGTGGCAGAAAATGCCGAGGTTGGGCTCATTCCATGCCCCTGAGCTCGGTTCGACTAATTGCAACGATATCAGCTGTACATGGCGTTGTTGCAAGACGGCAGCGTTCATCTGGAAATTCCGAACTTGCCTGTTTGTGGTAGCCCATTTTTTCAAATTTCATCTAGTTGGAACTGCATTAGGACTCAAACCTATATTACCGTTTATTTGTTTGCTTCTTTATTTGTGTGTACGAGGTTTTAGTGTTACCCAAAGAGCCACTTGGAGAGTAGGGGTGAGGAATGGGGTAGGTAGGGCAGGCTGATGCGGTTTTACGCGCTTTTTTTGGCTGGGAGCTCATTTATGAAGTGCCTAAATCACCATTCGCTGAAAACTTGTACACAGGGGTAATTTAACATCCTGATTACGAATATGACATTCATTTTTGGCGCTGGCGCTGATGGAGAGCACTATGATTATCTGCGCTCTGCTAAGGCTGAGCCCAGAAGATTATCGTAGCGTCCTCCATTAGCGCCAGCGCCAAGAATGAATGTCATCATCGTAATCAGGATGTTAGATCACCTCAGTACACAGGTTTTCAGCGGATCTGGCGACAGGCACTCCATGAATGCGCTCGCAGCCAAAAGCAAGCGCGTCCAAACGGCGGATATGGGGTGAAGATGTACGGAACATGCAGGAGTTAAGACAGGTCCGGCACAGTTTGGCGACGGGGGGGAGGGCATTTTGCACTTTCAGGCCTTCACTACTTCCGGTTTACAAGTCTCACTCTGTGGACTGTGAACTGAAACTTGTGTACTGTTGTGAGGCTGGAGCCAGCTCGCCTGGCAAAAATGGCAAAAGGCTATCTAGACGGTCGACACACTGATAGGAAGCAAAATGCCCCCCGTCGCCGAACTGCGCCCTAGGTCATGCTCATAGTGAATGGGGTGAAATCAGCGGTGAAAAAATGCGATAATTTCACAGTTCGGCTGCACAGCAAACCAAGAAGAGGATGAGGCTCAGCAACGAGATGGTTGAGACACACCAGAAATGGCGAGGCGTACTTCACATAGGCAGAGCCTTTGAAAATTTTTGACTCAATGCCGATACAGTTTGGAGGAAAGGAATCTCTGAGGTAAATTGAGCGCGACAGTGGTATGCTGAGAATCGGTCACAGTGGGTGGAGCGCCCTGAGAAGGGCGGGAAAACTCGAAAGTTTGGCACTTCGCGCTCACACTCGTGCTTCTTTTTGTCCGTTCACAGCTCTTGAGGGTACGATTGATGTTTTATGGGCAATGGCTTTGAAAAAGGTTTCTTTATGGATCTATCATGAAAAACGTATGTAAAATAATCTGACAGGAATAAGTTTATTATTTATAAGGAAGCTACTGCAGATACCATCAAACATATAATCAGACTTGTTTATAGTAAAGACAGTATAGTGGTAGTAGTATCATAGCGAAAATTAGACCTTTCTAGTGACCTGAAAAATGTTGAGCCAAGTTACTCACCTTGCTGATGAGCTAACTGTAGAATGTTTGACGAGCGAAGTATTGGCGTTACACAGCGATAGCATATCGGGCGTCCCATCCTTCTGAAATTATTCAAACGTCATGAAAGAGGAGATGCAAGAAATTTCATTGTTTTCATGCTTGAAGAGGTCATACTGTCCCATTGTTTCGGTGAGTTTGTTCTGTCGCAGTTTGTTCATGCTTTCTGCTATTGTGAACAGAATTGCTTCGGTAACGCGGTCGGTTCGACAGAAAGTCAGACTATACCATTTGCCATTTCAAGCATGAGACATATGGGAGACGGACCTTGTAAGTCCAAGTTCCCTACATCTATACTCAAAGGCAGGCTGCGCACTTACTTCCGCGGATACTCTTTTTCCATAGGCGAGAAGAACCTGTTGCCAACTGTACAAATGAAACAATTCAATCACTTCAGAGTGCACGGAAATAAGACTGTGTGGTAATGCGCTTTACACCCCGCCCACGCAATTCTCAATGCGTGGTACTTGCGTCAATCCCGCAGAGAGGTCGTCAGCGGTGCACAACCGGAAGTAAGAGGCGCACGCAAGCAGCGCGTTTGGCTATGGTTAGGCGTCTGGGGAAGCGCGGGAGGAGTCCGGAAATGCCACCCGAGTATCACTACCCTCCAACCCATTCGTGTACTTTTCATACATGGTTACTCTCTCATGGGGCTCACATTGTGATGCTTTCGAGCACAGAAGTGGCACGCTACTGCAGCTGCCGACCCTTTCATTCCATACATAGCAAGGACCAAGATTAGCAGAGATGAGAACTAAATTTGTCGTCGAAACTGATGTGACTAGCGTGATCACAATGTGAGCCCTATGAGAGAACATAGTGCTTTAACTTACCCTTTCTCCTTTCCCTCTATAATGATCGAACACCCAATTCTGCCTACTCTTTCTACTGACATTATTTATTTCTTGTAACAACAGATAGATAAGGGCTGTGCAGTTGCGGAAGTGGGAAAATCCATTGAGATTGTGACTGATCCACTCAAACAAGAAGGTAATCTACTGATTACTTGAGTGCCAGGAGTCTCTTCAATTCCCACTCACAGGATGAGTCAACTTAGAGTAAACTCTCGTCAAAAAAAGTTTCGCGTTGGAACTGCAGGTAAGGGGTGCACGCAAGCCAGCGTTAGAGTGTGTCACAGCTCACAATTTGTTCTCTATGATCAGGACATCGGAGCTACCAGTTTGGAAGTGTCAACTCGCTCAGCATTAAAGAGCACTTTGACAACTTTCTCGAAAGAATGTGATAGACATACGCTGAGCAACAACCGAATGCGTAAGACATCATAATAAAAACTTCTCAGATGACTGAGTTGCCTCTTCCTCCATCTCAATTATTCCTGGCTGTTCATATCTGAGGAAGGAGGTAGCGAGCTATAAATTAGTCTGACGCTATTGTGGATCCGCAAAGACATGTGCCTGAAAGAGCTGTGCCAGAATGGTAAGCTATGGCGTTGATGACTTGCCTTGACGTAAACGAAAGTGACCGACGGAGTGACCGACGCTGAGCGCTTTACATTCATTTTCCATGACTAAAAGGTGAAAGCTAAGTGGCATTCCAAGGTTTTTGAGCAAGTTCTCTTGCACGCAAATCCCAAGTGTCAATCGAAATTTAGCTTGAAGACGGTGTTTCTCTGAGAAAATCTCAACAGACTCATAGCTCATATTGGTGATTGAGCCCTCTCAATCTTGTAGCCTACCTGTGGTCCATAAGATTCCAGGGAATAACATATCTGGGGCAGCCCATATGGGCTATCAGGGACGACGCAATGGCAACTCGGCTGTCACTGCCACTCGCTAACACCAATATTGTTTTTTGATTTTTCTGTAGTAACATACTGAATGGTGTCAGATACATGCTTAGTCAAATACCATCGGTAGAGGAAAAACTTCCAGAAAAGCGATAGCATCATAGGAAGAACGCTTAACAAAATTTCATACCTCAACCCCAGCACATACGACTGTCCAACTTTCTCATAGCAGTCTCCGTACTCGCTGATTGATGTCGCTGATACGGTTATCTTGAATAGGAGAGGTTGGTCTCTATTTTGTGGAACGAAAAAGAGAGTGTATTACGAATTCGTAATGACAATTGTTGCTATAATCGCGTACCTCATCGTAGATTATAGGACCCGTTGAAGTGCTGTCGAACACAAGATTCCTGTTTGAATACAATTGACGCTTGAACACCCCTTGGATAGCGTTATCAATTCTGCAGGCGAGGAGACCATCTAAAATTAC